ACATTTCTGGGGCATTTCTCCCCCTCACTGCGAATTGAGAGGCCTCCGCTCCGCAGCCCGCAGCACAGGGCCGGGCTCACGCCGCCCGCTGCTTCCTGCGGCTGGGATGGGCTCCCGTCCTACGGGAGGCAGGGAAGGAAGAACGCACCGAGCGCACCCGGGAGCTCCGCAAGCACGCAATCCGGCCTAGGGGGATTTCAACGCGGGCCGAGAGCACCGCGCCGAGCACGAGAAACAAAATTAACGCTCACTCCAAGACGGTACAGAACGACCTCACCGCCGGGAAGCACCCGCGCGGAGCCGGCCGGCCGCAGCACGGCGGAAGGGCGGCATCCCTGCAAGGTCACCGCCGTGCCGCCAGCAGCGCGGGGAGGGGCGGCGCTCCGCCGCCAGCAGCCCGGCCGCGCCGTGCCGCGCCTCGCCCTGCAGCGGCCTCCGGAGCCCGGATCGGTGCCGAGGCCCCGCGCTCTCCTTACGGCCCCCCCGCAGCCTCCCGCGCGGCCCAAGGAGCCCCTGCGCCCCTCACCTGCTGGTAGCGGCCGCTGCCGGGCTCGGCGGCCGCCATGGCGCTGGGAGGGCGAGGGCTGAGCGGGCGGCGGGGGCTCGGCGCTGCCCGGCCGCCTCCCGACGGGCACTGCTGAAGCGGAGGCCGCGCAGCCGGGGCCTCTTCGCTGCGGCTCCGCTCCCGCCCTCCCTCCGCCCGTCACGCTCGGTCGCGCCCTCCTCCCGCCCCGCCCCACCCCGCCCCGCCCCGCCGGCAGCCGGAGGCCTCGGGCCCGAGAGGAACCGGCGGCTCCGCTGGGCCTGGCGGTGCTGCGGTTGCTGTGCGGAGATTTCCACAGCTAGCGATCCGAAATTCACGGCGCCCCACGCTGGGGATGGGCGCCGCCTTCACGGCCCGCTGGGAGCAGGCTGTGCGAACTGCTGCCCTGGGGCTGGGCACAGAATCACGGAACGGCGAGTTGGAAGGGACCCGTAAGGATCGCCCAATCCACCCCTGGGGCCGCACGGGGCCGCCCAAAGCCGAGCCCTGTGTTGAGAGCGCTGCCCAAACGCTCCCTGAGCTCGGCAGCCCCAGTGCCATCCCATGCCCCGTCCCAGGGCTGTACTGCCCTCTCCGTTAACGTCCGTGTCAGTTCCCAACGTGATGCCCTCCCAGCTGCTCCCAGCACACACACACGTGGCACTGCAGCCGAAGCTACCCCGAAATGCTGGCTAGCTGCTCAGGAGGTGCCGCGAAATCCCGAATATCCACATCAAGCAGATGGTGCTCAGACCCAAAGCCTCCCAGAGTAAGCACTCGTCTGAAATCACGCTGGGTTATACATTTCTTTATTCTGGGTTTTTTTGTTTGTTTGTTTGGTTGGTTGGTTGTTTTTTTTTTTTTTTTGCATTTAATGTTACATGGGTTGAGGAATTTTCACCCTTGTTCTGTGCTTGCACAGTTCATCTGTGGTTGGACTTGAGCAGAACCACCCTCATCTGTCCCTAAGGTTGATAAGACTTAAATATATCTGCTTTAGGATGAGGAGGGCTGAATCAGCCCTGCTGGGATTCTGAGCTGCCAATTCAGAGAAAGAGTTTAAATCTGAGGACATGGTCCTGAACTGCAAACTCTGTCATAAATGAATGATTACAGCTCTGTTTGCAGTACCATGCTCAGGCTGGGATCTGTTCTGTATTCCTCACAGGACTGGATAGCTCACCCTAGCCCTAAAGAGATGGGTGAACATTGCAGTTCTCCTAAGGGACAGACAGGAATTGTAAAGGACTTTAGCCAAGAAGAACCTCCAAGAGAGGCTCCTGAGAAATGCTGTAGGCATGAGGAGAATGCAAGTTTCTTGCAAGAAAAACACCTTTGAAGGAGTTGGAATGAGAGCTGAAGGCACTGCCACACTGTTTCCCCTTTCCACAAGATTCACAGTTTGCACTGAGAATCTCCTTTGCACTAAGAAGCTGTCCTGATGACGTGCGCGGATTTGCTGTCGAGGTAGGATTATATCCCTAAGTATAGCTACAGCCACAGCGGTAATTAGCTGTACACTGATTGACTTGGACATCTGAAAGACTAAAACCAGACACAACCTGTGAATACCCTCAGAAAAGATGCTGGACAGTATCCCAAAGAGATGGTGAAACAGTTTGTGCCACAGTCATTAGCCAGAGGCATATCACCCCCTAATTAGGCCAACTAGCCTGAGCACGGCTGACATGGGGAGCTGATGGCAATTTCTTCCAGCTGCTCTCTGTGTTTTTGTTTTATTTTACAAGGGACAGCAGCTAAGATGATGCTGTGGTTACAGTGCATGACTGGTTCTGCTTTCATTTCCTGCATGGTTTTAGGCAAATCACTTCATACCTCTGCATTTTCTAAATCTTCCTCCAATACAAAATGTCTTCTCTCCCAAGAGATGCTCTGAAGCTTGAAGTCATTGCTTTTCGGTGACTTCCGTGTGGGATATGCTGTGAAAGCATTTGAAAGCAATTGAAAATGTTAGAGGGCTGCAGTATGGTGAGTCCCCTGAAACCCACAAGCATTACTTTGATTATGGTGTACGACTGAACAACAAAGAGGGCACTTTTAATCTATGCTTTGTAACAATATTGAACAAACTAACTGATAAAGCTTGGGGTAGGTGGGGGGCAGGGCTAAGATAGACTTGTTTAAATAAGGAATAAGCAAGACATTAAAACTTAGCTCTTCCTTGCTATCTTTATAGCAATAAATGATTCACCTAAGAAAAAATTGAAGACAAATGTTTGCGTGAGTTAATGGATCAAATGATACCTCTGAAGCTCTCCACTGTAATAGCTTAATCATCTGCAAGCAGGCTGCAACTGGCAGGCTGAGAAAAAATGGTGGCAGAGTATTGTTCATATAAATAAAGCCTGCACTGTCTGCCATTACAGAGCTGGCCTCAAGGAAGATGGAAACTTCACCAGGACTCTCATCCAAAGACTGCTGGCATCAGCAGAAACTTCACTGTGCTGCCCAAAGACACGCAGTGGAGTGCTGTGAGCTGTATTCTTCAGTGCCAGCAGCTGCTGGTAGTGCTCATTGGCTCTCTGGAATCTGGGCAATGGTGGGAGGAGCTGGGCAGCAAGCAGGGCTTGTGGAAAAGGGCAGCTCCCTGCAGGTCCATCCACCCAGGAATCCAGTTTCTCCTTTCCTCATAAACAGGAGAGTGAAGGCAGGTGAGATGAGCAGGAAATGCTGGCAGATGGCGGGCATTTAGGAGCTGCTTTAATTATGGGAACTGAAGAGAAATTTATGCGCATAAATTTTTAATTGTTGCTTTTTTTAGAAGGGGGAAAAAAAAAAACCAACAGTGCTCAAAAGCAGCCCCTGATAGCAAAAGCTCTGGTCTGTGTGAACTGCTGACTCTAATCACTTCAAGGCAGAGAAAAAGAAAATGCTGTGCTTGTTAGAACCCCCTGGTTCTGCAGGGAAGTGTTTGTTTCCTTCCATCTGCTGCTTTTGCTGGGAAGGAAAATCAGCTTGTTCAGACACCAGGAAGTTCTTCAACATTTCAACAGCGAGCTGAGAATGCAGAAACAGCAACACGCATAAATAATCATACCTAAAAATATCCCGCATTCCAGTCACACGTATAACCCAGCCCTGGAGCCATTTCCTCAGCATCAGCAGGCTGCCTGAAGCACGCAGATCCATGGGACGTGGGCAGGACGGGGCAGCTGTGGCAGCACATGCACGTGCCTGCCTCTCGCGCACTGTTGCGGTTTTTTCCTCCCAACAAAACATATTTTTTTGTTTGGTTGGCTGTTTTTGGGTTGTTTTTGTTGTTTTTTTTAACGGGGATGACTCTGCTGTCTTTGTGCACTGCTCCTGCCAAAGCTGCTTGCAAAGGGGGTCAGAGCAAGAGTGAAGACTGTTTGCAGTGCACAGAGACGCACTGAATTTCAGCCAAACGCCTTTGCAAAGTTCAGCGCTGGCTCCGGGGCTCTGTTAGCAGCACGGTGTGGTGCAGCTTCATCCAGCTCTGACCTGTGCTGCTGAAACCAGCTGGGCTGTAATTGCTGCCCCGTGCACGGGACCGATGGGTGTATTGCACTGACCAGTGGGAACAGCAGGAAAGCGGTCTCACCCGGAGCCACGGGGCGGGCAACAGCCTGTGGAAAAGCCTCGTCTCAGAACACTGCGTGACTCTCAGCTCTTTGCCCAGCACTGCAGCCACGGAAATACTTCTGTGCTCTCTGGATAACTGCTGCTGATGGAAACACACCGCACTTTCCATTTTTTTTTAGTCTCTGTGGCCTAAAACTCTTCCTGAGCTCAACCACAACCATCTGTGGCCCATCACAGCCGTCACTCTCCAGCCGAGCGCAAACCAAGCCAGCAGCTCTCAGCGCTCAGATGAGGCAGCATCAGCAGCACTCAGCCTTACCAGGTCATTTAAATTATTAAAATAAGCAGGAGCTGTGTGGGATGGGTGCTAGAAAGCAGTTTGTATTTCATTCTTCCTTTCTAATGAAAGCAGAAAGCCGTCTGACTTTGAAAGAAGAGCTTTTGCGCCTCAACAAACCTCATACCTCTGAGCAAGGCTGCAAGGCGAGGTCGGGCACGTTCCTGTCACAGCGTGAAGAGAGCCGGAGCGGTGGAAGGAAGAAGGAAAGGAGAGAATGGAAGGAAAGAAGGAAGGTCACTTTGGGGGGGCGGCAGCACCGCTCGGTGCCGGAGCAGCGCGCAGGGGTTGCAAGCAGCCGGCCGCCGGTCTGACTGCGGGAGGCGGAGCGCAGCGCGGCCGCGGAGCCGTAGCTCATCATTTGTATTTATTTGCACAGACCTCTCACAGCCTGAACGCCTCGTTACTGGGCGCGCTGAACTGCTTCCCTCTGCGCTGATTCTACAGTTACCACGGAAGCGCTCTGAGATAAACTGAGAACCGGGCTGTGCCATCACGGCCGCCGCAGCCGTCGGGCAGAACTCGCGCGCACAACGCTCTGCGCGCCGCGGAGCCGGGCTGACCGCCCACAGCGGGGCGGGGCGGGAGCGGAGCTAAAATGGCGGCGTAGGCGTGGAGCTCCGCCCGGCTTCGCCATGAAGCTCATCATCCAGGAGACGTACGAGCGGGCGAGCGAGTGGGCCGCCAAGTACATCCGCAACCGCATCGTCCACTTCGCTCCCGGCCCCGGCCGCTTCTTCACGTTGGGGCTGCCCACAGGTGGGTGGTGGCGGGACCGGGCGGGTTGTGAGGGGCTGAGCGGGGCGGGCTGACGGAAGGACAGACGGACGGGTTGACGGCATGGCGTGTGTCCGCAGGCAGCACGCCGCTGGGCTGCTACAGAAAGCTGGTGGAGTACTACAAAAACGGGGACCTGTCCTTCAAGTACGTGAAAACCTTCAACATGGACGAGTACGTAGGTGAGTGGTTCGCGCGCGCCCCTTGCAGCCGGGATGCAGCGGGTGCTCCGCGCTGTGCCCTGGGGCTCAGGAGCAGAGCGAGGGCGGGAAGAAACGCGCATCGCCTGAGGGACGCGATGGGCGCCGTGTGAAACCGCGTGAAGCAGCGCGATGTCTGACCCGCACCGCACAGACTGAGCGGCCGAGGATCCCGTTATCGCTGTAAGCGGAGATAACGGCTGCCGCTTTGCACCTTTGCACCCGGGCTGTGGCGCCGGCCCCGCAGGCGGCCCCAGCGCTGTGATAGCGGAGGGGCGGTTCGCTCTCGGAGCTGTGCTGAAATGGGTTCTTCAGAAGGATGGCTGGAGGGAGCCAAGAGCTCCAAAGGTGAAAAACTTGCAGGGTAATTATTTGCCAGTGGTAAGTTATATACTGAGCGAGAAGTTTTTCCGTAAGCAGTTCAGCAGTGTCAGGAAATGGGCGGTTACGTGGGTTTGCAGCGTTCGAGGAGAAAACTGAATGCAGTAGGTTATTTCCCAGACTTCTCTGTTGATTTTTAAATCATTTTTGCTAATGCCAACTGGGAGGTGGTCTGGAAAGGCAGTAAGAGGTGAGGCGCAGCGCATCCCTGCTCTTCTGGAACATCCTCTGTGTGTTAATACAAGGACACAGAACCAGAGAATCACAGAACGTTACAGTTGAAGAGGACCATCATGATAACCCAGTTTCAGCCCCCCTGCTATGTGCAGGGTTGCCAAATGTTAGGCATGGCTGGTGTAATTTTGCTTATTTGAGGAAGCAAAACTTCTGAAAGTCGAGGGAGTTCTATAAGACAGATGGAGAAAACAGAGCTCTGTTGCCAGAGGCACCGCAAGCCTGTGTAGGTGTTCTGCATTACAGGTGATGTTTTTCTGGCTGGTCCCAGCCCTGTGCGTGCTCTGTCAACAGGTCTCCCGAGGGACCATCCGGAAAGTTACCACTCGTTCATGTGGAACAACTTCTTCAAGCATGTTGATATCTCGGCAGAAAACGTTCACATTTTGGATGGAAATGCAGCTGATCTACAGGCGGAGTGTGATGCGTTCGAGGATAAAATCAGAGCAGCTGGAGGAATTGAACTCTTTGTTGGAGGTGAACACTTGAAGGACTGGCAGTCTCTATGCACTGTCTTTCCTCCATCTATCTTATTTATTATCTGGAGAAGACAAATAAGTCCAGGGGATGTGCAATGAAGGCACCTCGTACACTTTTACTGAGTGCTCGTGTGTGCTGGTAGCCTTGTTGTCTGACATCTCATTCCCCTGCTTAAACGTTTGAATTCAGGAAGGGAATTGCTCAGGAGGTGGTGAGCTGGAGAACCAGGCAGGGCTTGAATTTTATCCACTACAAAATGTGTTACAATAATTAGGGTAACAGGAAGCTGCTAGAAATAGTTATAGCCAACACAAGCAAGCTTTCCCCATCAGTTTGCCTTTAGATTCTGCTATCTGCTTTGCTTTGTTGTTGTCCCAGTGCAACTGAGAAGGTCTCTGACTTCATAAGGAGCTTTTGCTACCATTATCAGAAGCAAATTTGAGCTCCAACAGAGAAATTGGAAGCGTTTCTCAGATCTGTGTCTATTCCAGGGGGTGCTGAATGGCTCTGTAACAGGAGTGCTGCTGGTTCTGTTCCCTACAAAAACCATTTCAGCCAGTGACCTGCTTCTCAAACTGTCTCTGTCACAGGTATTGGCCCTGATGGTCACATCGCCTTCAATGAGCCTGGATCAAGTTTGGTGTCTAGGACGCGAGTGAAGACCTTGGCTATGGACACTATACTGGCTAATGCCAGGTTTTTTGATGGTGACCTCTCCAAAGTCCCCACGATGGCTTTGACAGTTGGAGTAGGCACTGTAATGGATGCCAGAGAGGTTAGGAAAACAACAGACACTACAGACAGCAGCTCTAGAGCAGGGCTTTCTGAAATAACTGAAGGTCATCTTGGAGCAGTTATGCACCCTGCTGGTGTAAACCAGCCCACGTTTTTCCTGCCATAGATAGCTGAACACTGTCTTCCTTTCTTGCATCCTGTACCACTATGGAAAGGCTCTTAATCTGCTTAATCTGCTTTCCAGTTGTTTTTTTTTTTTTTTTTTTTGCTCTACTAACCCTAACATTTGTGTAACCCTGCAGTACAGTTGTGATTGCAGGGAGCTGGAAGGGCTTTTGGAGAATGGCTTCAGTTCAGGAGCTCATCTGGTGAAATAGCTGCAAGAACCCCTGTCTGACTCAATCTTATACCAGATGATGAAAGGCAAATGCAATAGCTTTTCACTGCACCTACACCTTGGTTTGTACAAGTTAAGTCTGTATGTAGGTGCCTAATGGGAGCTCAAAGTGTCCAAATCACTAAAATTAGCCTCCAGGCTATGATAAATAAAATGTAGCTAAAGCAAACAGAACTTGTGACTGACTTCTGGGGGCATGACAGACCTTACTCCCCATTAGGGACTGGGCAGCTCTTTATTAGTTGGTGTGGGTTTGCTCTCAGCAAGTCTTCTGGACTCTAACTGCCATCTTCTTGCCTTGGAATCCAGGTGATGATTCTCATCACGGGAGCCCACAAGGCCTTTGCTTTGTACAAAGCCATCGAGGAAGGTGTCAACCACATGTGGACAGTGTCTGCCTTCCAGCAGCACCCCCAGACCGTGTTTGTGTGTGACGAGGATGCTACGCTGGAACTGAAAGTTAAGACAGTGAAGTACTTTAAAGGTGAGTCTGACCAGGGCAGGCAGTGGTTGCACTTCTTTTTTCAGTGGCAGAAGCCATGATTTTTGTTAAATGCTTGTTTAATCTCACAAAAACTCCCAAAAGAGAACACTCTTCCAAGACAACAGCTGAAACGTAGAGCACTGAGGCTGTCAGTCACTTCTCACTTATCTCTGTGGCCGTGGGACAAAGGAGCACAGATTTCATATATGTATGAAATCTAATACCTAATTTCATTAGCATGCAATGAATGAAAATTTTGCTTTATTATGTCTACTGAAGTCATCTTTTTACCTGCCACATCAGGTTTAATGCTGGTTCATAACAAGCTTGTGGAACCCTTATACAGCATGAAGGAGACAGAAGCAGAAAGAAGCCACTCTAAGAAGCCTTACAGCGATTAATCTCTCACTGCCTAGAGTAACTCTGAGCCATCTTTTTATGTGGAAAACCAGCTGCAAAGAAAGGGAATTGCTGCAGAAATTCATCTTGTCTTTGTTCTTCAATTAGCAAATACCTGCTTTAATTAACCAAACGAGGATGTGATCCCTGCGCTGCGTTCCACAAATCTCCAGCAACGTATTCTCTGAAGGCAAAACCAGTGGAGAATCAGTTGTTTAAGCAGAGAGGCAGTTATAATTGTTTGGACTGGAGGCACCAAAACAAATGTGAAAACACAACGGGTGATCACTTTGGAGTGTGTTCTTTGCAGTTCTGTCAAACACATCTGTGTAGCACTGCCCCTCAAAATGCTCCCAAGTTATACTCACATAAAACGGGAATGGTTCTTGTTCAGCCCAGAGAAGGGAAAGTATCAGCACAGCTTAACAGTAGCCTGCTTCATAGCTCTGAGTAAGCCATCTAGAAATAGAAACAGTGCTCCACTGCAGGGCACAGGAGGAGAGATAAGGGACAGTGGGGCACCAACTGAAATGACATTGACATTGGATATAATGAAAACGTTTCCCTGTGAGGACAGTCCAGGCAGAGGAGACAGTTACAGTTCCACAGAGGTGTGCAGCCTCGATCTGATGGAAGTTTTCAGGACCAAACTGCCCTGGCTGAACCCGGCATGGAGCCAGATGCAAGGAGATCCCAGCAAAAGGGATGCAGCAATTCCCAGTGCAGTGCCATTAATGCAGTGAACGGTTGGCTCACGAATCTGTGATTTTCTTTGTTGCCACAATTCCAAAAGAGGCCTTACACATTCAGTTACGAGGTACAACTTTATATGCAGTGGTGCTTTATGATCTTCAGCAGGGTAGATTTCTTCAAACAAACATTAAATTACTTCTGTTTGTGCTCCTCGGTGCTCTGTGACCTGTGTTGGGCAGAGCCTGAGGCAGCGAGTTCTCTCTCTCCATTTCATGTGCTTCCAGGAAATGTCAGGTAATCCTCAAAGGAAACGTTCTGTTCCCTGAGCTCAGCGTGTGCTTAATTACAAAGCGCCCCCCACAGAGGTGGGCAAGAGCCTGAACAGCCAAAGCCCACTTGATCCTTCTGTGGTAAGATCTAAACAAGATCAGTGCAAGCCAGACTGGGGAGTATGCGTTGTCTTTGTCCGAGAACTTTGTTATAGAGCTGTTCATCTGTAACTTTCTACAGTAAAAGTGTTATTTTTCTCCAGTTGCTCTGACTGTACGTGTTGCTTGGTTTCTCTGCGAAACATGGAACAGCTTATGTGTCTGAATGGGAGCTGTGATGGCATATTTGAGTAGCAGCAACAAAGTCCAAAAAGGTGTGTTGTTCTGAACAAGGCTTTCTGTCACCCAGAACCAAGAACTGGAAGAAGTAGCTGCTGTGGCTCCATGCCTTAAGGGCCCAACTCCATGGCTGCCCTCTGCTGGTAGGCGTCCCACACAACCGGCCGGGCAGGCAGTGGCTGTCTGTCTCCTTTGGGCCGGGTGAGGGGTGGGGAAAGAGTGGGAATTTCTACAGGAAAAAGGAGGAGGTCTCAGCTCTCTATCAGTACCATCAAATGTCTGTAATTAAGCACAGCCTTTCTGTGTGCACACAGAAACGAGGAAGCAGCGTTCTGTGAGAGGAAAAAGTAGCCTCAAGGAAAAAACTGCTGTTGTGGTGTTGCTTGCCTGGCCCTGATTGATGAAGACAGGATGAGGTTTGAGCTGTTCTGCCTCTGCACTGCCAGCTGTTTGTCCTGTGAGCACACTCACCTGCTCAGCTGTTGTGGAGAGGCTCAGTCCTTCTGTGCCTGTTAAGCACAGGAGCTGCAGCCCAGGGCTGCTGAGTGCCCAGCAGCCACAGGAACATTGGCTGCTGCTCTGCACCTCTGTCCTTGGAGAAGGGACCTGCGCTGCCTCTATACACCTGAGATCCAGCAGCATTGCCTCCAGGCAGAGAATGATAAATGCACACTTCATTCACCCTGGGCCAAGCACTCCTTGCCTGCCCACGTAATCTGCACAGCAAGAAGTGCTTTCCAAAGCAGGTTCCTGGTCACAGAGTTCAGGTGCTGTGTTAACAATTGGGGCAGAGTGCAAACTACTGTAGGAGTGCAGCACAAAGCTGGCTGCATCCCACGTGTTGTTTCCATGGCAGCTTTATGACTGCCACCACATCCATCACTTACAGGCTCAGATGTCCCCCAAAAAACCAAGGTAACTTTGCTCTGAGGGCACCAAGCTTACAGAAATGTGCCGAGTTCCCTCAGCAGGATGCCCCAGGCATCAAGCTCACACGAAAGTTTTGAGCTCTGCTGCATTCCTTCAAGAGACCTCGAGTGTCCCAGCCCTGCAGTGTAAGAGCACCAGAGCCCAGCACCACAGCTGTACCACACACCAACGGTGCTTACACGAGTGCCATAACGAAGACAAACAGGAAGACAACCGTATTTGCTGTCTTAAAGTGAATTTAGTGCATGTGAAAGGTGCAGGAAATACAAGTAAACCATACATGATGTAAACTTGCTCTACACACACCATCCTACAGCCTAAATCAAGGCAGGAAATCCACCCTTACTACTTTAATCGCTGCCAATTCGAATAGATTTTTCTCTTCCTCTGCAAAAGGAACTACATCAACACTCATTTTGGCCAGGTATTTAACTAAGATTTATTTACTGTCAATCAAAACCGAGTTTGAACAGTTTTCAAGCTCCTGAGCTATCCATCCAGACCTGCTGTTTGCTTTAAAGAGTTTGAATTCCAAAATAATTTTTTAGATCATTCTGTAAGCAGGAAAAAAAAATAAATCAGTGTTTCTCTCCAGCAATTACTTCCATGTTCCCAAAACAGCTTGCTGAGCTTTTAGGGGAAACCACGTTTTTTGAAATATTTAAAGGGCAAGAACAGCAGAAATGAGGCATCTGGCCCAGAACCAAAAGCATCAACTAATCCAATTCCTTACAAGAAGATTTTGTAAACAAGTTAATGTCTGATGAGGAAGAAACTTGAATCCTTTAAGGTACTAAAAATTATCACTGATCCAGACCGTCTATGCACAGGAACTGCCTGGGATCATTTTCACTGGCCAGACTCCGCTCAGTGCTCAGTGAGGATGGCAGCGAGGCGCTCAGCACTGCAGCACTCAGCAGGGTGACCCCGACTCCAGAAACAGCTGTCAGTCAGCTCTGCCCATGCGTTCAGTGAAGAACACGGGCACTGCAGCCAGTGAAAGGAGTCAGGGATCAGCGCCTTCACTGCCACTGCCAGCAGAACAGCACTGAGCTGCTGCCACAGAAACAGGCAGGAAATGCAGGAGGCGGCGGGCTCAGCCCCTGAACACAGCCTGTGCTGCTTCACAACACTTTCCCTTTCCAAGCAGCGTCTAACAGCTCCAGAACGAGCTCTGCACCTGGAATGGCGCTGCCCCAAACAGCGGAGCCAGCTGACATCCCTGGAAGGCAAACCTCCTCAGGAGGCCACTCCAGAAACATTGCTGCCATTCGGGAGCTGAACGAGGGGCACCTCTTGCTACAGACTTCCCATTCTGTTCTCACTTCTTGGTTGCGTTTCTCTTTATCACTGGATGTTACTATTAGGACTTTCAACAGGAACCTTGACCACAGGGTGGGTAAAATGGCCTCCTTTGGTTCTGGCAACAGAAGGGTTGTGCAAGGATCCTGCAGTGCAAGGTGGTATTGTTCTTCTATGGCATCAGAGCACTGAAAATCAAACAGCTTTGACAAAAAAAGGAAAGCATCTGTCTCTGGTTTCTTCAGCATCTGTTGCTAGAGAAGAATACTAGTTTTCATCTTCCCAGAACTCACCATCAATTTGCATAGCTTGAAACAATCTGCAAAACAGTCACAAATTTACATCAGAATAGAAAATAAAGTAAAAAGAAAACATAAAAAAGCAAAAGCAGGTTTCATAATTTTTATCAGTAGCATACGACACTCATGCTGCAGTTCCCAAGGTCAGTTAAAAGAAGCCACTTTGCATTTGTACAGTGCTTCACAGCAGAGGGTCTTACAGCACCTTACGGACATGAAGTGTCAAGAAATCTTGGAAAATAATGATCCAAGCTGTATTAAAAGTTACCAGCATGCTGCAATTCCCAGTTGGTTTTTAGCAGCATAGCAGCAGCAGCCAAGCCTGCCTGCTCCAAACAGCTGAGTGTCACCTGAGCAGACAGCAATGGGCAAACAACTACAGCACAACAGGGGAACAAAATGAAAGAGTATGGGTTTTTCTTGTGAAACAGTTCATCTTTGTCGAGAGAGGTGAAAGCTGAGCTCCAAGGACAGCAGGAGACACAGGGAGAAAAACAGAGGAAAATTGGGTAGGAAGTGAAAAAATTGTTGTTGGGAGAGGAAAAAGTGCTGAGAAACGAGGTTCAAGAACAAGAGAAAATCCCACCAGCCACACTGATGGACAGAAGCAGAGCAACAAAAACGCTGCTGTTTTAGAATGTGCATCTGACAGAACCCAAGAGCAGCAGTGCAGCACTGGAGGAAACACGGAGACACGTACCGATCAAAGCACGGGGAAGACGGGTCATTGAAGTGCTTGTATGGGTTCACCCTGGACAGGGAAGCCATACAGAGCCAGCAGAAGTACTGCATGCAGCCAGTACACGTCATTTTGTTACAGCCATCTAGTTTCTGGCAGGGAAAAGAAAAGAAACAATGAGGTGTTTGCACGTCAGGCCTCAAAACCACAACGCTCAGGGCTGCATCGTGCCCTGACCATCACAGCAGTGATGTTTTCCACAGCTGGGAGAACTGGGAGGTCGCAGAGTCGAGGCTCAGCTGTGGCACCACTGGAAACTCCTGTTCATCTGAAGCTATCTGTGTGTTACCAGTTGCAGTCTGTGAAGGTCTAAAACACCTGGAAAGGGTTCACGTGGATCCACGCTGAGTCAACCTGGATCTTCTCAGCACTGAACCATCAGCTGCTGCCTCTGACCAATGCCACCATTTTGCCAGTGGGCAAAACAGCTCACGGCCCTGACTATAAACCATGACCTCCCTCTCTGCATACTGCAGATAGAAGGGCAAAGGTCTCTTTGCCAGCTGCTAGAAATGTGCTTTCACTGGTGAGCTCAGACACTGGGAGTAAATCTCTGAGCTGATGCAAATACAGAATTCGCCTTTTGCATTCATTTCCATCAGGAGTTACTGTGATCCCAGCCTCTCCCCCTCCACCACCACTCACCTCTATAGGAGTACTGCAGCAAGGGCAGGACTTGGAGTTCTTTTCCAGCCATTCTTTGCTCTCCATCTCCTCGAGGGCTTTCTGGATCACTCGCTTGCCGTAGCGCTGCTCCAAAAATCTTTTGGTTGCCTCATCGGCTTCTAAATATTCATTACGCAAATCCATCAATTTCTCTGCAGAGTGAAACAAAGAAACAGCTTTTGCACTGCATTACAGGAGGAAGTACAGCTAACAGCATATAAAGCATTCTCACAGGAAACCAGCATCGTTCATTAAAGAGTAAAACATAAGAATACGTAAGAAAACGAATATTAAGACCTCTGCCCCTCATTCAACAGCTTTACAGTGCTTGATCATAAAGAGAAATTCAGTGAAATCAGAACAAGTCTAAGATGTAAATTGAACTGAAAACCAGAAGTTTTTGTTCTGAACACAAAGTTATTGCCATGCCACTTGATTCCAAGGCCACGCGGCCCATGAAGTGTCACCTGAGCACGTACAGAAAGAGCAGAAAGAAGCGGATTCACAGGAAAGGGTAAAAAAGGGCACAAATAAATGAAGGCATTCTGCCCTCTGTGACCTCGCTGAATTCGGCAGTCAGTCGTTCAGGGACTTCCTGATCTGTGCAGTGCCACGAAAGTGGGATCTTTTAATCGCCAGCAACAGACCTACCTAAAGGAACCTGTCCTAGCTCAGGAGCCGACCAGCCTCCCTGTTTAAATTCTGACTTCCACTCTTTTTCACACGACACCCAATTAGCTGCTTCGGGGTCCATTCCTGGCACGCAGTGACTCACCTGCAGTGATTTTACACGGTGAGACCCCATGGTAGGTCATCTTGCACAGAGTGCAGAACGCGTAGTTGCAGCAGGAGCAGATGCCCATGGTGCAGCCCGGCTCCTGCATGACGGGGGTCTGGCAGCCCGGCCGCGGGCAGTACACAACGTCTGCCATCAGGTCCAGGGTGGACTGCAGCAGCAGGCGGTCATAGCGTGCAAACAGCTGCTCTCCGACCAACTCCTTCACCTAACAAAGACCAAGGGAGGATTATCTGCCTTTGGAACTCTGTTACCTACGACAAGAAATGTTAAATAGATGAAAAAGTGCAGCTGGCGTGAATTCACTCTGGATCCTCCAAGTGAGGCCACAAAATTACTCCTAGAAAAGCTATTCTGGTAACAGTTAAACAATCGAAAGAACAAACACACAGCACCAAATAGGAGGGACATCAGTTCAGTCTCTGACCAATGCCACCGCTCTGCCAGCAGGCAAAACATGCTCCCCATGATCCAGCTGTAACCTGGAGGAATGCGTGTGGCTCAGAGAGAGGATTTCCCTGGGCCATGCCAACCATTAAAAGCCAGACTGTGCTCCACAGTGCTGGGCTCACACAGCCCTTGCCGCCGTGCTCGCATCCCTTACCTGACCAGGAGTAGCAACAGAAGCACACTTCGGTTCTGGACAGTTGAGGCAGTGGACCTGACCATCCCTGATCTGAATTTCAAAGTAGTCCTTCAGGCAAGCTTTGCAGTACACGTGGCTGCACTCGGTGAAGTACATGCATTCCCTGCCCAGCTTCTCACAGAAGCAAATATTGCACAAGTACATCTTACTGTTAAAGCACTTCCTTCTCTGAGCCTGATCAAAGTCCAGGATCTCCCGAATCAGGCTGGACAAAGATTCCACGTCCTGTACAGCTCTTTCATCAATTTCTTCTTCAGCTGCAGCACAGCCCACTGCACCACCACAATCCTCAGCATCCTGAGGGACCGAAGGCGTCCTGCCCTGTGGGTTCCCTTGTTGGCACATTTTTAGCTCGTACGGGGAGGAAATATTCAGGTAACTTAATGTTTCTTCCTTCAGAAACTGCATCCAGGCAAACAAGACCACGCAGCCTCGGTTCTCTTCCCACAGGTTGTCTAAATGCTTGCAAAGAGCGCTGAGCTAGGAAAGAAAAAACATTTCAGGTTTCAGTGAGCTCTGAGAACTCGTGGCAGCTCTCCTCCCTCTCCCATGGTCCTCCTTTAATGCAAATTTACATCTCAAATCCCAAAACTTTCAGGTAATGTGTAGAAGACATAAAAATAATGTTCACAGACTTTGAACTCTCAGAAGGGGTAACCAAGTAAGAAAAGAGCCAAGTGAAAGCCAGGTGCCATCACTCAAGTCTCAATTTTAGTTGCATCTGCCATGTTGACATCCAGCAGAGCGCTGCTGATTGTGCACTCACTCACGACCACAAAAGCTCTGCTAGAACGTCAGAAGTGGTTCACCAACCTGTGCTGGGGAGAGCCATTTGCTGCTGAGGGTAAACGCAGGCGGGGAGGTGGATGGGTAGTCCGGTGGGAGCTCAAAATTCAGCACAAGCGGAGGCAGAAAGCAAACGGTGCATTCAAAGCCCCTGCCCTGGGGACTCTCCGTGGAATTGCCTGAGCCAAAGCCAATGGAGACAACGTGAGACATAACAAAAAGATGAGAACCAAAGGATGGCACAGGCGGCCTCTCTGTCCGTTTAATGAATGTCTCATTTTAAAATCATTTATTCAAGCCTAAATAAGGGTGCATTAAGCGCCGTGAGGTTGTGTGGGGTTAAACCAATAAACAGGAGTGCTGTGAAATACCAGATCCTGCAGGAACCGAGGACAAGGAAAAAAACCCCCCCAGGGGAAAAATAAATACATGAACTTAATTACCCCAAAGAAATGCTACGACTCGGCTCGAATTTTGAATCTCAGCGGAGAGGCTGCATCCAAATGGTGAGAGTGCCCAGCCTGACACAACCCCAGCAGTGGCACAGACACGAGGAGGGGTCCCACACTGCTCTGTCAGCTAAATATTCCTACAGCCTATGAGAGCATCTGAGAAGGCACCAGGAAACTACCTGGTGAAAGGCAACTTAAAGATAACGGAAGCCACCACAACTCACCGCTCACAAAAACTTTGAAGTTTTGGGGCAGCTCCAAACAAATTCTGGTTTCTCCTCCTTGTGCTGACTCGGCTCTCTTAAACTCATCTTCCTCATAGATGCTGGCCAGCGCCAGCAGCTCATCCTCCTGAGCTTCTCTGTCTTCTGAAGACATTTAAGGTGTCTGTGGGGTTAACACCGCTCTGTAGCATCAACTGAGTTCACGCATCCCATCCAAACTGCGCGCCTGTTTGACACCTCCACAGGAAGAGTCAGAAACCAAAGCAGCCGATATGAACACAGAACGCGATTACACTTCTTTTATGAATTGAAAAAAAAAGCGTTGGTAACTTTACAGAATGGGAAACACCGACAGAACGTGGAGGACTTAAAAAGCAAACAGCCGTCAGCGGCTGAGAACAGCTGCAAGAACAGCAGCGAAATACAGCAAAGGGAAAAGCGGCAGCGGGACATCGCACAGCGACTGGAAGAGAAAACAGAGCAGAAAAGAAGAGAAACGCATTAGGAACAGAATCGCTCGAGCAGCGTTCCAGAAAGGCACGTTTACGACAAAGTTTCTGAATACCTCCGTAAGAAGCTCCGAACCCCACGCGGGCGCCGCGCGCTCCGGCCGGCAGGGGGCGCTGTGTGCCCGGCACAGCCGCAGCGCGGTCCCGCAGCGCTCCGCGCGTCGCGCACAAAACGCCGGCCGGGCTGTCAGTGCACGGCGCTGCGGCACCGCCCGGCTGCGGCCACGCGCACGGAGCCGCGGGGATCGAAGTCCCCCCGCCACAGCTCCGCCAGACGCCGCGCCCGGGAGGGTTCGCTCAACGGCCGCCGCGGAGTCCCGACCCGCTGCGCCCCGGCACCGCTCCCGCCGGGCAGAAACGTAACCGGAGCGAGCCGGGAACAGAAAGCCTCCCGCCGCGCTCCTGCACGCGCGGCGCAGAGTTCGGAGGCCGCGGTGACGGCGCCCGGCGGGGCAGCGGCCGCACGGGGCGCCCCGCAGCACCGGCCGACCCCCCGGCACCGCCCGCTCTTCCGCACGGCCGCCCCCGGTTACCTCAGCCGCGTGGCGGCCGCGCGGCCCGAGGGACGCGGAACGGGGCGCCGCCGGCTCCGCAGCGGAGGGGACGCGCGAACCGACAAGGACCGGCGGAGGGCGGAGGCCCCGACCCGGCCGCGCCGCTGACAGCGCAGAGCGCCCAGCTCCGCCCGCCGCGCTCCGCCCCCCTCACAGCGCCCCCCGGCGGCCGGGAGGAACGCGGGGTCCGTCGCGAGGAGCCGCTGTCGGGCGAGCGGCAGAAACAACTGCGCGTATGGACGGAAGGCACCGTGAGCAGCGCTGCGGAACGGGCCGCCGGGTGCGGCTGCGCTCCCCGCCCGCGGAACGCCGCCCTCGCCAGCTGCAGCCGGGCTCAAAGCGCCGGCCCGGAGCTCAGCTCAGCCCCGCGGCCACGAACTCATCCCGCCTTCCGGGGCCGCGGGCGCTAAGGAGACGCTCACCCCCCTCCCCCCCAATCAACGGCTTCAGAAAGTTGTCCAGTAGAATCCAGTGCATTTATTTCTTCCAACAGCTGAACGGTGTTTCAACTTCGGCTTTAACACATACAAATTAATGTTTGCAAGTTTAATGACAATCAGTACTAGAAGCAAATTACTGCATAAACTCATAGAAAAAATGCTTTGTTCCTGAAAAAGAAAAACAAACATTCCAAATGAAGGCCTCATGGAAGCAAGCACACCCCCTAAAGAGTTAGGAACACAGCAGTCAGCGCTCAGTGCAGGCAGCTGGGCTGCAGCCCTCATCCTTCCTACAAGCACCTACTGAGCTGCAGACAAGGCTACTGACAGACCAGGGCATCTAAACTTGGTGGTTCAGAGCACATTTGTGCCTGAGCTGTTAGGAGTGCAGTCACTATTCTACATCTCAGGTAAATGGATTTGATTTGGGGCTATGGGTGAAGCGATGACACCCACTGCAGGAATAAAGGTATGGGAACACTCACCCGCTGCTCTGCGTACCTTGTGCAAGCAGGAGCTGATCAGGTGCAGATCAAGAGAAAACCTAGAGGTGTGTTAATGCTTAAACACAGGCTAGACTAAGGTAAGCAGTGAGAGGAGGCTGCAGGTCTGAGGAGCAGCCCCCTCCCATTCCTGTCTCACTGTCCTAGCTTTAGCAGGCATTCTCTTCTGAACACCGCTATGCCACACGAGAGAACATGAAGAACAGAATGAAAATAGGACTAGAGGAAGCGCAGTCCCCTTCTTAAAACAAGACTGACTCAGCATGAACATGCTTCAACATGGAGACAGCTGATGGCTGCTTCCGCAGGAGCAGTAACGGTAGCAGAAGCCTCGAGCTACAATCACTATGGCAAGAAATACTGCTTGTTTGACAGAGTCGTCGGCTACCTAAGCATTCTGACCTCAGGCACTGACCAAACCTCTCCAAAGATCACCAAGAGCGCTGTGGTATTCACTTGCTTCAATTCGTATTCAGAACATACAAAGTTGACAAACTTAAAGCTTTATTGTGGGTTGCAGTAATATAAACAAGTACTGACGTTTAGTCAATGTCCATCTCAGGAAGCTTCTTCTCTGCAGCTGTTGGGGCGGGCGCAGCGCTGGGCTCCGCACTCTGGGCCCCACTGCTGCCATCTCCCTGCCCTTCTACTGGTCCGTTCGGTTCGGCTGGTTTCTGCTCCTCCTTTGGGAGTTCAACTTTGGGTTTGGGTTTTGTAACTATAGGATTGCAAATACTTGTCAACTCCTGTAAAACAGGAATTAAGAACTGTTAGAGGTGTCTCTCACCAATTGTTTCGTTACCCGCCTGCCCAGTCAACCTTCAGTACCGACTGGATATCCAGAGCAGAGGCAGATGTTCCCTAACACACCTAACAAGTCAGCACCCAAACACCATCTTTTTCTACAGCTGATCTCACCTCAGTCCTTATCCAAGCATACAACTTCATCAAGAAGCATAAGACTCGTGGAAATGATTGCCTAGAAAGACTTACTTTAGTTTTAGCTTGTATGTCTTTAGCTTTTATAACTGGGTCCAAAGTAAGACTTCTCTTGTTCTGAAGATTGAGTTTGTTATTCATCCATTCCATTGCTTCATTTGCACTTTTCTCCACTTTCGCCACATCTGCTTCATCCAGATGGTCATACTGCTCATCCTGAAACACATCATGGTAGCTGTGCAAGTGACTGAACATCCAAACTGCACGCACCCTCAACACTTCATTGCCCAGAACACCAAACAGACCAGTTAGCTAGAAGGCTGTTCTGATTAGCAATTAACCCAACCACCCTCAGCTCTGCACAGACAAAACTCAAGTTGCACTGCTGCTGCTATTTCCCCCTCATAAGGGAAATCAAGATTGACTTGCTAATAAAGACACATTTTTCAAGCCAAAAACCCACTTCTGAGAACACAGTTGGCCTTGAGAACCCAGAAGCTAACCAGGACATTGCATGAACTTTCTGCACAGCTTACTTAAGATTCAAAACAGGCCTCACATCACTTCTGGGCACCGCCAGAAATTAAGCGTGGAAATACCTTTGCTTTGAAGGCATGAACAGTTTTCATGTACTGTTGGATTTGCTTCCCTAAATCCTCAAATGCTTTTGGCCTTTCCTCTGATTCTTGAAATCTCGCCTGTATAGGTTGACCCAAGGCCTGAAAAAGTAAAACATGCCATGATCACCCCGTGTCGCCTCTCAGCAGGGCACAGCAGCATTTCCAAACTCCTTGCAATGTTTCCCTTCACTTAGAGGAAGGGCAGATTCTCCTTTGTGTTGTCACAGACCAGTTGCAAGTCTGCTTTCATCATTAGTAAATAAATCAGTTTGTTGTAAGCATTAATCTCCGGATTAGTGGTCCTGAGCTAGCCAGCTCCTCACTTGAAGTTCTCTGGACTCACTGAGTTCTGACTGAAATGCAAAAACCACTCACCTTTAGCTCTGTTAATTTATCAATGTAAATTTGCTTGGGCTGATCTTCCCCATCTTCATAAAGCCAGTTTTCTGTATCTTCCAGCTTCAGCGTGAAGCCGTTTCGATCCTGAAGCAATCCACACAAAACAGTTAAGTGAAATGATCCCACTGGATGACATTAAAGCAGTGTTTGGAATCTTTAAAGGGTTTCTTTTTTAGAATGTGAAGAACTTTTAAAAATTTTTAATCTTAAACCATTCCTAAAAATCAGCGAAGAGCTGAGGTAGGTCAGGTTGCCTTCAAATGATTGTCAAGTGCTCCTTGTTTCAGTCTAAAAGCAGGTGATCAGGCAATAACTTCCACAGCTGCAAATGTTTTGGGAAAGAACAATATGCCCTGGGTGCCACCTGCCTGCACTCGGCCCACACTTGGGTCACTGTCATAAACAAAAAGGCTGGAGATGTTTCAAGTTTAAATTCAAGTCTGAAAGCTTACAAGTGCAGTCTAAGTAAGCACACTAATATGATACAGTAAAGGTTATTAAAAATAACTGTTAATTGCAATAAAACAGAGGACAAAGCCAGAAATACTTACGTCTTCACTAACAAATTTCTCATAAATACTGCAGAGTTTGTCTCTCATATCATACACATATTCTTCTACTGCATTCTTAGCATCGTTCCTCTCCTTCTCTAGCTTATCCTGCATTATCATTTTACCCTGAGAACAAATTGACACATTAGTTAGCTAAAAAGCTCATTATCTACAAGACCTCAAAATACTTCTTAACGAGATCAGTTTGGTTAAAGATTTTGAAACAATGTGCAGAACTCTACGACAAAGCAGATGACAAAAAGGAACCACAATTTGCTGCTGGAGGCACATCCACAACAGACCAGCCTGCCCCAGCTGAGCAGTCAGCCCCCAGGGGCAGCAGCCTCACAGCCTGCAGCTGAGTCACTCCACGAGCTCCCCTACAAATCAAGTGTCTCCATTAGGAGCATCACATCCTGGCTCTAAAGGCCACTGTTGTTCACCACAAAAAGCTATGTTATAAATTCATCTTTCCTCCAATTCAATTTCCATCAATTCCATGCTATAAATTCATCTTTCCTTGCCCATCGTTAGCATTTAACCACACCTAATGAACAGCAAGATTCCCTGTGAGTTACAGACCTCTTCAGCTCAGACAAGTAGAGCTTACCTCATTCTCAATGAACAAGTTGAGCATATCCTTCCCTATCTGCCACACCAACTGGTTCTCAATGGGAAGGTCCACTGTAGTAGTCTTTACTTTAGCCTTCTTGGCTTGAGGTGGCTGATCCACTTTCTTGTCCTTAGAGTCACCTTGAGAAGTCTATATTCAAGGAATAAATCCAAAGTAAAAAAAACATTGGTTCAAATTAGGCACTGAAGGCTGGTAACAGAAAAAGGCTTGAGCACACGCACATCTGACACTGACACACATCTGTAACTCTCACACTGCTGCCACAGGAGTCAAGCAGTGCAGCTGCTCACTTCTACCAGCCACTGGTGACATTCACAGCAATTATGTGCCCCCAAATGTTTCCAGATCCCCCCTCTAGTTTCTACATTACTGAAATCTCAATGCCTTCTCCCATGCAGAGCTCTCACGCCATCAGTACCAGCTCATCTGACAGCAGGCCTTCAATAATCAGAGCTACGTTGTGTTTAAAACATTACTCACAGTACAGACCACAAATACTCCACATACAGCTTCCACAGCTATGACAAAGCTAACGGGTGACTGCTCAGACCTTACCATCCTTTTGAATCTTCCAGAAGAATCCTGTAAGAAAACCAATTTTCACTTTACCTCCATTTCTTCAGACTCTGCCTTATTTTCAGCTTGGACCTGCTGCTGTTCTTCAGTCTTTTGCTGCTCCTCCTGGTCTACTTGCATCTTCTGGAATCAATAGAAAGATTCAGTTCAGCATATTAAAGAATGCTTCAATTCTTGCCTTGCTCACTCTACGTGCCTCCAGTGTTCTTTGGGTGAAAGAAAGTAGAGCCTCAAGGGATCATTACATACTTTTAGCCTTTGCTTTGCCAATTAACAGCTCACTCCTAGAACGATCAAGTCTTTCACCGATAGCCCAGTTCTGCTTTCAAGGCATCTGTCACAGCCATGACATACCTAAATTAGTACTTAATTGCTAAACACATCTAAATCCTTTCAGAAATCCCAGAACCTTTCCAGAACTTGGCCAAAAGATTCATGAAAGGGCCTCAAAGAGCAGCCAACACAGAGTCCATTACCTCTTCCTCTTTTGCATGCTGATCTGTTTCCATGGGCTCCTCGCTGTCATCAGACTTATGAACCTCCACCAACGATGCGCTTGAAACACTGAAGATGCCGTGGATATTTACTCTAACTTTGACCTTCACTTTCGAACTGGATCCGTCTGTTTGAGGAGTGACCTTCTGAACCAAGAAGTGAGCTGAACAATTCCAGAAACAAAACCCATCACTGAATGTGAAGTAAATCCTGACTACTGCAGGCAACAGATCACTGGAATGCACTCAAACCCTACTCAGGCTAAGCAGTTTGAGTCAACAATGCTTTAATGCGTGCTATGAGGAATCTCATACGGTATGTCACGAAAATGGAATTATTTGCATCAGGGTTTGCAGCATTCTGAGCATTCCCTTTACAGACTTCACCACCAGTACTTTCTACATTCTGAATATCTGTCCAGAAAATTCATGTTACCCCACTCATTTGTAAAAATGCAGATCCGTGACTTTAGAAGTCTGTCCCTACGCAATTTGTAGTAAGCTGCAGGGTCCAGACTAATGTAATCAGAAACAGGTTTAGAAAGCTGTACAAGGCAAATCAGCATTTCAAACCACAGAAAGGCTTTACGTACCAATAGCAGGATCTGGGTAAGGCAGCTCCTTGGGAGAACTGTAGTATGCCTCCAGAGTGAACGGCTCCTTTCTGTAGAACGTGAGGACCTTAGAAAACGGAGCAGCGTGGTTCTTGGGGAAGACCTCGCAGTCACTGAAAAGAAAACAGCACTTACATTACATAGCATGCAACATGACCCTGCTGATGTTAATAAACATCTCCAGGTATTCTTCATATATTAAGGAAAACCTCGTTTTCAAAAGACAATCTGTTTATTTGAAGAGCAACAGCAGTGCAGGCAGTGTTAAGCTCGGCCTTTTTTCTCTCAAGTCTCAAATTATCAAACCTGCTGGGAGCTGTCAGATGGGTGTTGTCCCAGAAATGCTGTGTTCTCTAATCGTTATCACAGTTTTAAACTGCAGGTAATCATGCAGAAAAAAGGAACTCTCACCTTAACCCTTCTTCCGCTGGCGAATTCCACCGCAAAGAAATAGGATACGGGATCAGGTCTGTGATAGAGAACTCTCTCACTTTGAACGCCGGTGATAAAATAGCACACTGAAAGAGCAGAGGAGTTCCATTACAAAAATCCAGGCTTCAGAGGAACAGTAATTTAATTCAGCAAGTAGCTACTTAAGCTACTCATACGTAGGATTACTAATACTGATGGACTGCAGAACTGCACAGTAAGCACCAGAAGTGCATGTGTGCACTTCCTTTTGGGAAGCTGTCACAGCTGTTCACTCTGAAAATGGAAATACACAGGTTTTGCCTTAGAACAAATCACATTTAGTTTGTTATGCTTTGGCTACTCAGTTGTTTTTAGTGCCAGGGTAAGAAAATCAGACACTATAGTTTTAGTGTGACATTACCAGTTGTTTCCTTATAGTTTTGTTTTGTTTCAAAGCGCACTGTAACCCAATCCCTTTTAAACAGATTCCATTCCAACAGCTGGCTTGCACCACTGACAAACAGATTAGCATCTATTAAGCATGTGAAGAGGAAAATAAGGTGATAGGAGCAAAACTAAGGTGCAGAAGGTAGCACTAGCAACTACAGAGTATCTGCTACTGCTTCAGCCCACTGGGCAACTGCAATTCCAGCTCAGGACAGGTTTTGTTTATCAGCAGTGCTGTAAAGCAGCTTTTGTTGAACTCAGGCCCCCCAAAGGAGCCCAGAGAAGTGAAGTGCTCATATGACAGTCATCACAGTACCAGCTTCCAACTACAGCAGAAGCAAAGCACACGTTTCACTTCCATCTGTACTGACCCACTGACCTGGCTCAATGCAAAGGATCACTTAAAGCCACCATTCTCATTCTGCCAGCCAGCTTCCTGATGCTTCTTTTATTCCATTCCCATACACACAAAGCATTTTTCATGCTACCTATGGACTTCAGCTCAAGTACTTGTGATTTCAATACAAGTATTCACAGCTAAAACATATAGCACTTTTTACCTGCAGTGCACAACCTCGTGCAACAGCCTCATCTGCATTCAGAGTCGTACTGACTTCTTTGCCAAAAAATTTACTGATCTTCTCTTTAACAGCAGGGATTCTTGTTGTGCCACCAACTATTTCTACTGCATAAATATCCTCCTTCTTTAACTCTAGAAAGGAGTCAGGCATTAGTTTTTATTGATTCCACTGTTGTATTTTAAGTGAGTACACTAACGTTGTGAACTGAGTTATGCTAAACCAACTATTAATTTAAAGCAGTAAGATTTTAGATCTCAGCTTGTGTGAAAGAACTTTGGAAAGCTTAAAACCGCTCAGCCAAAAGACGTTAATTGTATTAATGAGTCTGCCCACGTTCTGTCAGCAGCCAAAGAAGTCTGCACTAGGAACACCATATCTCTGCACACAAATGCACACACACTTACTGGCTTGCTCCAGCACGCTGCGAAGGGGGGCTTCTACTCTTGCAAGAAGTCCATCACACATCTCTAGAAATTTACTTCTGTTGAAAGACACCATAAATAAGATGTTACCATAAACAAGCTACAGTTGACACAACAGGCTGCCCAAACAGAAAGCATTCAGTTTCCAAACGCTGCATGCAGCATGTGCTTCTCAGTCACCATTCTGCACTCGAGTAAATTGCACTGGGATCGTGGCCCAGGGATGCCTGTGAACTTCACAGCCCTTCCTCCTCTATCTCAAGGCCACTGACCAGCCTCTGAAGACCACTCTGAGCAGCACACCAGCATACACTCTCTCCAGTCCTGGTACTCTGTAAAGCATCTCCTTCCCAGAAGCAGCAAAGGAGCACTCTGCACAACTTACCTTTGTAAAAGCACATACGTTACCTGTTCATTGTTCCAGAAACATCTATGTCATTCATGAAACATTCAATGTTCATTGGGAGATCAGAGGCATTGGCACTCATCAGTTTTTTCAGTTTTTCACATTCCTGATACAGCCTCAGCAATGCACGGATCTTTGACTTTATGTCTAGTTTGTATTTCTTTCCAAACTCTTCACAGAAGTATTCCACCAACATTTCATCAAATTTCCTGCCTCCGAGCGTTGTGTCGAACGCTGTGGCAAGAACCTTTAAAAGGTAAAGAACTCTTCAGTAACAGTTCAGCCAAATCATTCCTTCAGCAAAGTCAGTTGGCAGTTGGTTGATGCCAAACTACACCTCAAGTACACCTCTAACATCCTATACTTAATTGTGACAGCAGATGCAGAAGCAGCTGCACACACCCTAGAAGATGTGAATGTGTTTTTGTTGTTTTGGGTTTTTAAGCCTACAAATCCTGTACCACGGTTTATAAATGACTTTTGTAGCTGGCATTAAATATTTGTTCTAAATGCTACTGAGAAAGAACTGTCATTAAAAGGAGACTTCTAGAAGCTGCACAAGTATTTCAACTCTGTGTAAATGTATTCCCTCAAAAAACTGCAGAGCATGCATATGCTCCAAGACAAAAACACATCCACTATGCTACACACCAAAAAGCTTTCTTACTAGTTCTGTAAGAAAGCAGCAACTTCTCCAGTTAAGAGGATTTGGGAAGGCCTCGGTGCAGCCTGGTCAGCACCCTGTACCATAAGCAGACCACAAGCTTCCAAACTCTGCTTAGCCACTGTCACTCTGAATGCATCCCAGCTGAGTATTTCATGCCTTAGGGTGGAACACACACAAGGCTAAAAATAAAGCAACAAAGTGCAACTCTTGAAAAATCAGAGCTCATTTTTGATGAAGAAATCACCTACAGAAAACCCAGAGCCCACCCACGCCTGCTACTCTGTTCTTACAGCACTGAGTTTGAGACCTTTCATGATTAGGGCCAGTTACTGCACTGCTTTTAACTGCCTTGCTATCCATCACTGTTCATACTCAAGTGTCTTCAATACTACTATAGCTCCAAAGAACTTAATCTAGGTTAAGTTTCCTCATAAGAGAAAACAGAACTACAAGAAAAGTAATGTTTTTACAAGTCCTGCCTTCTCATTTTACATTACAAGAAGTGTTTCTTCAGGTAAGGGAAAACTACTGCAGCTACAGAAATACAGATTGTAAAAGCCTAATTGAGAAATACCAGCATTTGCTGCAAAACAGTAATGCTTTGGCAACTTGTCCTGAGGAGTACACTAACTTCTTAGCTTCATTTGCAGCTTCACACTGTTAACAGCAATTACTCTTTCACATGAGCACCTCAGTGACCTGATGTTTGAACTCGCATCCTTGCAGGAATTTCTTTTCATGCTACACCTCATGACTGGGCTGCATTTTCAAAAGCAGCCTCTGCTCAAATCAATTTCTGAACGAACGTAATCAAGCCCTTTTCCCCTTTGCCAAAGGTCACCAATTGACACAGGTTTGCTTCCTCTCTGTACCATTCAAAAGCTCTACATCCCCGCCCTACCTTAAACTGTACATTTTGAGCTCCAAGTACAACTTCAAAAGTATAAAAGGAAGATCCTGGGTAAAAATAGGCAAACTTGACTGCCACAGTTTCATACGTGCTGGTGAATACTGCTGCTGGTACTTAGAATAGGCACAGAACTGATTGCTTACTTTCAGTTTTCCTTTATTGAACGCGCAAATAGAAACCTGATACGCAGAATGCCCCATATCCACAAAAACAACGTTCCGTGGCTTCTCTTCTAGGGCAGGCAGGTCTTGCTTATAGATTCCATATGCAAGGGCAACTGTACAGAAGTGAGAATCAGCATAATTAGGGCATTCAGTTTCTCAAATCCTCTCTCAAGCATTAACTGGTACAGCAGTAAACAGCATTAGCATTTCATCTTTTCCAAGCTACAGAAGTTTCTTGTTAAGCTAAACACCAATGCTAAAGCAGCATGGAAGAACACCAAACAGTTATTAGCAACTCCCAGAAGAGATTACATGCTTACACAGATATTTCAGAAACATCCTTATGCCACTAACATAATGAAAGGTGGGCTTAAGAAACTTAACAGTCACCTGTAACTCCAGCAGGTATGGACCACTGACAAATTACAAGTCCTAATAAAACAAAACCATCAAGTGATTCAAGAAGAAAGCAAGGCATTACCTGCTGTTGATTCGTTTATTAGTCTCAGACAGTTGAGACCAGCAATTTGTGTGGCATCCATCACAGATCTCCTCTCTGCATCTGTGTAGAAACAGGGAACCTGCAAGAAGATCAGATGGCCACCATTTGAAAGAATCACCCACAGCAAACCATTAGACAGAAGTGTAGAGACAACAGAGCACAGCTGTTCCCCTCCATGGGGATCCTTCCAGTTTGACATTCATTTCAGACACAACAGGGAGAAAGCACACAATGTTATGTGAGGGCAAAACGCTGGGAGCACTGTGCCCTCTCAAACTGCTCATTTCACTAGCAGAGAAACAGAGCCAGAAAGAGGCCTCAGCTGTTTATTTACCAGACAAAAAACCTCAAGACACTTTGTCATCAGTGAAGTCAGTCTAACTTCAGGACAGAAGATTGAGTCTCAAGCAGAGAGCACAGAGCTGACTACTCAGGTGCTACGGGCAACGCCACGCTGTTACCAACAACCATTTCAGTTTATGACACCGTGTCCAAGAGAAGCTGCTCCCATACTTACAGAAACAACGCAATCAACTACAGGCTTCTTAAGCGCATTCTCAGCGGTCTCTTTTAATTTGGTAAGAAGCATTCCAGTCATCTGTTCAATAGTAAAGTTTCTTTCTTCTTCCATATACATAACCTTAAAAAACATGCACACTGCATTAAGAACCACGTACTGCAAGCACAGAGCACACGCAAGAAGCTGTCTTACTGGAAGTAAGCTCCAAAAGTAACACAGCTCTATGCCACCCTCCCGAGGGCCTAACTGACACACAGCAAGTCGTAACTCCTACACATGAATGCTGGAAAATGCCTTTCAGAGCTCACACACATGAAGCTGCTCTGCACAGTTTTTTACATCTTGGGTGTTACACAGTGCCCAGGACATCTCCATCCCACTGCTTTGGAAAGTTCTATCAGTCACTGCTAAAATCTGTTAGGTATCACTTAAAAACATGGTTTGTTTTCACCATCTCACCTGACATGCTCATATTCTAAGAGTGTAGGATGTGAGCATGGCAGCAGTTAAATAAGCACACCAGTCAAGGAAATGCCTTCCAAAAGTGACCGTGGAAAAAACAGCACTGACAGAATAGTTTGCATGGGACTGGGTTTGCAAGGAGAATAATGTGGAACTGCAAAACCAGTTTCATGGAACACCTGCAAAGACCATCAGCACTATTAGCCTTCTATTTAACACCCACTAGTCACAAGAGCACAGAAACCTCAGCAAGCAGATTCAAAATAACGAGATAAAAGGAAACCATTACTGCTTCCCTTCTCTGGCACCTTTTCAAGCACTCCAGACTTACCTTGATGCCAGTTGAGCCTGTTGGCAGCTGGACAAGTTCATAGGCAAGGCTTGCTTTTTCAGCTTGAACAAAGGGATCTGAGAATGCACGACCATGAAATCTTTTAAAACTTTGTACTGTATTCTTTGCATTTGAAATAACCTAGAGGAAAAGAAATCTTTAATACAACTTGTCAGGGGAACAACTGAATTCAAACAAAGACCATACAGAGATCTACTCTCGTGCTTTTCTTGCTGAGAATTAGTCACCAGTACCTTAATGGTACCAGGGCAGATGTGAGAATGCAATTCCCCTCTGATCTCTCAGGCAACCTACACGAGCTGGAGATTCAATATAAAATGTACGCCTGAAAACTGAGCCACACAGTGAGCATCAAATTCTCATACTGTATGCACAGCATTCCAAAGTGTCCTCTTTCATTTACCTGCTTCCTACCACCCTCCTTTTAGACTGTGATGCAGCCAGTAAGTTAACAAGTACGACAAAAGCAGTGAGGTATACTTCACATCAGCCCCTCACATGCAAGTGACATTCAACATATGAACATTATTACAAAACAGCTCAAGAACCTCGTTGTAAAGCTTTAAAAAGTCAGCAGGGCCCCCAGGCTGACACTGCCAATTTGACATAACTGACAAAAGGCAGGATGTCATTAAAAGATAGTGCAGAAGTAGAATTGAAAAGTCATTAGAGCCTGTTTCTAGCTAGTACAAGTATAACGCAATGGAAAGCACAGCCATGGCAGCAGAGCAGCAAGGACCCAGGCTGCAGAAGTGAGTTGCTGAAATGCAACAGCCATGGGCACAGAGACAAAAGAAAGGAGCTGCTTACCTTTGGAAGACCTCAGGTATGCAGGGATCTCCAGCAAGATCCCCCTGCCTCCACTGCCAACCCTTAAATGAGGGCAGGGAAGGGGTGGATCCTGCTCCAGCCCTTCCATCTCTCAGTGCATTGCATGCAGCTGAGCTCCTCCAGGTTGGCCCTGCCTTTCCAGCAGGTGCTCCATCACTGCTTCAAGCCCTGGCTTAACATTTCCACTACAACAAGTTACCCTGTTTAACCCTTTCACTTAAGTTAGAGCAGGACACACCGAGGAAAAAACCACGGTCTCTGATCAAGCAGACAAGCACTGCACAGCCCTGTTTTCCTAATCACATTTCTTAAGTAACCTGGTTTTGATCTTCTGTAAGTTCAATTTCTGCAGGACATACCTCACCTCTACTGGATCTCTGCATCAATGAATCTCTTTAAGCTAAGCAGACACCCAATTCCAGAAAAACATCTGATTTAGTTTAGTACAGTTCTTCTGTTCTTGAATAACACAGTTGTGCCCAGTCACTTTTGTCCTAGATACTGAATCTTCACACATCTCTAGGTATTTTAGGCTAAGAAAAGCCAAGTGTTTGAATAGTCACCTCCTGTAGGACTTCAAAAAGAATCACGTTTTACTGGGTTTCACAGCAACACAAGAGACAACACAGCAGGACCTAAGTCTCATGGAGCAGGATGAAAATCAGCTAAACCTCTTCTTGGCCTTCTCAGCTATTTGCCTACCTACACCAACAAACTCAGAAGAACATGCAAGAAAGCCTACAGACATTTAGCTTGTAATTCAACCATGAGAAGCAGCTACACATATTCATACTCAGGTTTTCCCCTTTCTACCAAAGGAAATCACTTAATAGACTCGCATGGAATAGAATCACATAATGAAAAGCTACCCAATGCACACAGCAAAATGGGCAAAGGAGGCAAAACACTACAGCTTCTCTTTAGCGCCCACATTTGTAACTTTAAAAAAGTTTCAGATTTCCATGTAATGAACTGCTTCAATTTTATTATGTACAACTTTGAGATTCCCATCCAAGAGGACAGTGCAGCATTACAGGCTGAACAACTGCATTAAGCTGTTTGTTACGGTGAGACCCTCAAGGAGCCAGTTCAGAGACATTCTAAGCTTCACTGATAAAAATACACTGTGCTAATCTGACAGCTGAGTGCTGAAATTGCTTTTACCCCAAACTGTACCTGGCTTTTAGCTGCAGCACCAATAGAGCGGTTCTTGGGTCCAAAGGCTATGCATGACCTAAAAGGAGAGGAAGGATCCTGTTAGTGGTTGGTAGGACTGCATTCGGCATCAGCAGTCCCAGTGGTGATGGCTCTTTGTTAGAGATGTTGATAATGTGGTTCTGCAGATAATTAACATCTGGCCCATTAGGAAGGTTGGCCACTCATTCTAATTGACACATGCAATCTAGTTCTGATCTCAAGAAAGATGCAGGCATTCTGGATTCACTCAAATACTGCTCACCGAACAGCACTAAAACCAACAGATATAAACCTGAAACAGCCTAAGTAATAACAAGTAACAATGGGTAGGCAGTTCATCTCCGTGGTTAGTAGTGCACCAAGGCCAGCCTAAGAAATGACAGCTGATAGTACAGAAAGCACCCAAAAGCTCAGAAGCACACTGGTACCTCACTATTTAACAAATTACTCCTACGTATCTGTGCTAATTAAGATTTTCATTTTTAAATAAAACCCTTCAACAGCACAAGTTAAAACAACTGGAAAGGCTGCTACTAATGGGTTTCACCTGCACTCCAGATACGAAAGCACAGATTATCAAAGGATAAAAAGCTATCATTTACCCCAAACTCTAAACAGGGCTCACAGGTGGAAGAAAACAGATAAATGCTCCTGTTGGAGGAAATGCCTAGTGCTACCGAGCTGCCAACTTCCACCTCAGTTAACTCTATAGGCTCTGAAGGTAAACTCTTTCCCACCTTGCTCTCTTGTCCCAGACCCTCATACTGAGGAAGTTACTGAGGAAAAGCCCTCATCAGTCAATTAGTCAAGCAGGTCGTTACTATTAACAAGACATTAACAACATAATTAAGCTGATCTCTATGTTTAGAGACTACCTTGGAGCAGGGTTATACCATAGGGCTGCCCCACACAAACTAAACTTCAGCTCATCCCAAGGTTTAGAACTGGTCCTCTGAACTGAAAGAGCCAAAAGCAGAATGGATGGCTGCACTGAGATAATTTCTTTTTTAAAGATCTCAATTTAGTAATAGTTCAGCAGCTGAAACTAGGCCCACCCCTTTAAGCATGCGTGGCAACCAAACTAACATTCCAGGAATAAATCTTCTGAAACAATTATTAAGGGATTAGTTAATGAAAAGTGAGTCACTCTGGTACCACGCAAACTTTAAGGCCTCTGCTGGGCTGCACAGCTCACAGCCAGAAGCCCCACAGCACACAGGAGGGAGCTGGTTATTCATTGACTTTGCTCTCCTGAAGGAAATTAAGGCTTGAGCACGGATTTGTGTTTTTCTCCTACAAGAAAAAAATATCCTGCTACTAAATACATAGGTCATCAGGCCGCAATCACCACACACCACTAATTTATTTAGACCTCTTTAGATCTGCCAGAGTTAAACCTCAAGGCAGAAAGTTGGCTCAAGAAAAGGATAGAGCACAGTAACTACGTACTGAGACTTCTCCATTATAACATCAGGAACAAAAACTCCAGCACAAATATCCTTCTTATCCACGCCTGCCACCTGCTTGGCGCTGGACACTGGAGCAGGGCAGCCCCACATGGGGCACTGCGGGGCTGTGGCAGCCACAGCAGGGATTGCTGCCAGCCTCACTCCCCAGTCAGCCCAAAGGAACCACAGTGAGCTCATTAAACACAAATTATGCCAGTAATTACATGCATTTCACTGAAAGTTGAATAACTAACCATAGCATTTTAAATAGAAACAACCACAGTGGAGGTCAGGTCTAACAGCGGCCCCGGCAGAGCTCTGCCCTGCCTTACACCCGAGGAGGTCCCTGCAGGCACAGCCCCAAACCCACCCCACCTCACCCACTTCCCTGGAAGACACCCACAGTCTAACAGCACACTTCCTCACTGCTGAAACCGAGCACCAGCTTCCTCAGATCACTTACAACTATTTCATGTAATGCAAGCACCCTCATCCCCACATGGAGCAGGAAACAGCCCTAATCCTCCCCCATCCCATTTATTTCTAGCTCACTCTCTACTCCAGTCCTCTTCAAGACCACCATTCAAATACAATCATTCTGCACCAACTCTGCATACACAGCTTCCAAATCACAGCTTTCTGAAAGAAGATTCAGTGAAAATGTCACCTCTGCCATTGAACAACAAGCACAGCATGTTCACTGGGCTCTGCTTATTAATGCTCAGTTGCAATAAACTCTTCCTGCTAATCCCTCCCAAAGCTCATTGCGGAAAGCACAGAACATTGCCTAACCCTGACCAGGAATCAGTTCCTGAGGAAAGGTCCCAGCAGCTCACACAACAGCCCAGAACTCACTGAGGAGACACAGAGCTCCAACACTTTGAGCCAGGCCTTCATTTACAAGTTGGACGTTTAAAATCATTCAGAACATTTTAATACAAACACATGTGCTCACAGAACTGTATTCTGTATTCCCTCAGTATTGTGTACAGGCTTCCAGAACAGCACTTGAGGATTAAGGCAAGTTAAAAACTGCCACTTTCAATATGACAGTTTTTCCAGTTGCACACTTTTGACTTTCCATAACCATTTCCTGAAAGATACGGCATTGGACAACACTTTCCATCACTCATCTCCCTTCGATGAGGGAAATCTGTGCTCTTATCTCAGATATACCAAAGCAGCACCTCAGCAGCCTGAAGACTTGACACACAGCTCCTGCTTTCAACAGCTTTATGTGGGACACTGCCTCAGTCCATCTGTACTTATGTACTGTATTGCTGAAGAAGCCTAAGAGAGCAGCCCTTCCTCTGGCACAGACAGAAGCATTATTCTCCTTTTATTCACCGCTTTCAGCAGAAAGAAGCAAACAGAGCTGAGGCGTCTAATGAAACACAAGGTCACCCTATGCTCATCTTCCTAAGGAGGTACGAGGGTAAGAAAACCGAGACTAGGCAATTTCCTCACCAAGACAGACATTTATTTCAGCGTGCTCAAAACAAAGCTACGCTCCAGCACAGAGGGAGTCGCAAAAGCATTCCTAAGAGCTTCCCATCGGGCTCCCCGGCTCTCACACGGCCGGCCCCGCTCCACCGTCACAACTCCGCTCGTTGAACAGCCGTACTCTTCACCCTCCGCTGTGGTTCAAACACCCCACCTTCACAGTGGCTCAGGTTCTAGGCTCAGCACACACGGCAGGGAGGCCCAGAGCTCCGCCCGGCGCAGCACTCGGGCTGCAGGCGCTGCCCTCGGCGCTACGGACATCAATATCGCAGCCCGACGCCTCCGGCAGCGGCAGCGGCGGCGAGCCGACGCCACGTTCCCGCCCGCTCCCTGAGGCCCGCGGCCCCGCGCCCCACTCACGGCGTGCTGCGGTCGCTGTACTCGTTGGCGATGGTCTCGATGCCGCCGGCGCGGGCCACGGCCACGTAGCAGCTCTGGAAGCCCAGGTCGATGCCCACCACCGACATGGCGCGGCCGGGCGAGGCAGTCGAGCCGGACGGACGACTGAAGAGCGGCGCGGCGCGGCCCGGCCCGTTTAAATGCGCGGCGGCGGCGGCGGCGCTGTGGAAGAGGGGGGGGGCGGGGCCCGGCACTTCTCGAAAGATCCCGTAGGGCCTCAGCGCCGCGCCGAGCGGGACGCGAGGGGACCGGGTGCTCTCGCGAGATCTCCGCCGGGCGCGCGGAGAGCGGCATCGCCGCGCAGCCGCAGAAGGGCCCTGGAGAGTAGAGGGGCGCCGCCTTGGGCGGCCGGAGCTCGGTGCGCCGGGCCTGGGACGAGCGGCTGCGAGAGCTTCCGTGCCCGCCAGAGCGTGGAGAGGACCTCGGGCTCCTGGTTGTGATATGAAAATCAAGAATCATTGGCACTTTAGTTCGCTCCCAGAATTTTTTCACCTGTCAGGGTCTCCCACGTCCCTTGGCGACCACAGGAACTGGCAGCGTGCTTTGTGCTCCTCCACAGAAATGGCTTTTCTCATGTAATTTCACAGAATGCAATAAAGTCAAAACTTGGAAGCACCGCAGATCCCTAGGGTTGATTCCTTTGGTTTTGAGGATTTATGAGGCTTCTGTGGCTTTCAGTGTGAGCACAGAAATTTTATTTAAACTTTCTTCCCACCAAGTTAAACTCGTGATTTATTACGATGACCTGACTATAATGGATCTTGAGGAGGAACAGAGTGCCAAGAGAAGGAAAATTTACAGAAATCATGGCTTTATGTGACAGAAGGAGCTGAGCACCCAAACGGCTCCAAGTAGTTCACAGAATCACAGAATGGCCTGGGTTGAAAAGGACCACAACGCTCACCCAGTTCCAACCCCCTGCTGCATGCAGGGTCACCAACCAGCAGACCAGGCTGCCCAGAGCCACATCCAGCCTGGCCTTGAATGCCTGCAGGGATGGGGCATCCACAACCTAGTTCTCTTCTGCTGTCAGGATACTGCAATCTTACGTTGCTTTGGTTAAACAGAACCACACCGCTGATTCTACCTGAAGCCTTTCACAGGTACACATGCATCTCTTTCATCTTGTTCTATTTTCACAATCTCGGGTGCTAAAATATCAGTAATGTTTTATAGGTGCCTGTACGTCACAAGAACACTTCCATCTGCCAGTTTTTACAGTAACAGTGGTAGCAGCTGGGCTGCTGTTAGCTGGTTTTTTTTAGGCCTCCTCTGCAACACAAAGCAAAAGGTGCACTGGGAAAAACACATCTAAAGCATACATGGGCACGTACAGCATTTACTAAAGTACTTCCTTCTGTGGGAACTCCCTGATAAAACAAAAGACGTCCACAGTTAAAACACAGCTGGGCAGTGATGCAGCTGAGTTTTGTATTTCTCAATTACAGAAACAAGAAGGTTGGATTAATAGTTTCACTATTTGAAAATGTGGCTAAAATACAGTTTGTTCCCACCTATCCTACAAATAAAATTTGGCATATGATGATTTGATATTCAGTGGGAATAACAGAACAGCAGATCTCTAATTAACAGGTAGAATTTTAGTATAAGCAAAACCATCTTCAGAGCTCATGCCACTGCTGCTGTATTACAGATTTGTTTAGCTGCATCGTGTTTTCCAGGGAAGCGTTTGGCCAGCAAGAGCTTTGTGAGTATGCAGGAGAAAAATCCTTTTTAGGGCTGGGGAATCACAGAACTCCAGCATGTTCCACAGCGTCAGTGGTGGGGGAGCTGTCAGGTGGGCATCACTGCAGGGCCATGCTGATGCAGCACGGGCTGCCCAGTATAACAGAACTGGGGAGAAGGGTGCAGGGGAGCAGTTGACCAGGAAGGTGGGTGGGCTTCTCGCTCCAGAAAGAAAAGCCAAGGTTGCTGCATAGCGTGGTGTCAGGTCTGTCACCCAGTGAGACTGCGTGGTGGAGGAAGGCTGTGGTGGACCAAGATGGGTCAACAGTAGAGATGATGGAGAGGGAAGAGGGTAGGGGAGAATGTGGAACAGAGTGGCTGATTCACCCCGACACAGATGCAATTCAGATGCTTCGTGATTGTTGTGGAACTTAATATTTGGGAATGTATTAAATTCTGAGATAAAATGTGCTTAAAATACAAAAATGCAATGTGTCAAAACAGGATGTTTCGAAATTCCCAATCTTTTATTTACATCTCTGCTCTTTGTTTTAATGATACAGAAAACACACGGTAGAGAAACTCAATATTTAAACCAGGAAGGATTCTTGCCCCAAAGACAGCTCTGAGTGCCTGCAATTCCTTGCAGCACGCTCAGTGACACCGCTTTGGCAGCTGTACGTGGGCTGGGAATTGCATCATGGTGCTAATGACGGAACAATAATGAAGTGCTTAACCTCCGACGTCCTTGAGCTTACGGGGAAGGGCCAGGGAATAAAACAAGCCTGCCGTTCCGGGCGGAGAATACCACGCAGCACATACTCGAGGCACAATCAAGAACCAGAATATCATTGCGTTTCCTCTTTTTTTTTCACTTTCATTTTCGAAACGAGCAAAGCTGCCAGCACAGGGGCTGTGGGGCAACGACAGGCTGGCGTCACCGGGCGGTCGGCACTGAAGGACTCACGCCTCGAGGCGCTGAGCGGCTCCGGCTGCTCCTCCGCGCAGCTGACCCCGCTGGGCTGCGGTCCTGGTGCGCTGCCAGCAGCGAGCAGCCGGAGCAGCAGAGCTGCCTGAGGGGTGTAAGGGGTGAGGGAGCTCCACGGCCCCACACGGGGTGTTCTGGGGGGAAACACGCGTATCAATTCCAAATCTGAGCTGTCATTACGTGGGGGTCTGAAATTAAAAAGATTCTGTGGCCCTCCCCATTCTCCTTTATTTTCTCCGTGTTTTTCTTTTTAAAAAATGAGACTTCCAATGTAAAAAATGCGAAAACATTGTAACAAGTACTGCTAAGAATTAAGCAGAGTTTGATCGCGGCTGACAGACGCAGCTTGCAGTATGCGTTCTTCAGTAAGGCTTTAGCATTTCTTACCTGATGAAGACTATTTTGCAGTAGGGAAAGCGACTTCAAGATAGAAGAGCAAAGTAGTGGCAGGGACAACACCTCACTGGGTTTTTCCTACAATTTTTCAGCGCTTGACTTTTGAACGATAAGCATGATTTAAATTATGGAGAGCTGAAAAGAGAATAAGCCAAAAGGCGCTGCTAAAGATGCTGTCTGACTCTTCTAAAACAGATGTCAATTATTCCAAGAACAAAATGTAACAGAAATTCTTAGACTTTTGAAGATAATGTTAACAAAACGGGAAAAACATTGAAGTTCCATAACCAGGTGACAAACTTTCTCTTGGGAACTTCACAGATAAACCCTTGCCTGGCAGACTAAACACCCTCCTTTTTCCTGTTATCTCTGTGCTAAGCAGAAGTGCCTACAAACCACAGATCTGCCACTACAGAGCATCCCAGTGTAAATCCAGCGTTTTCAGACTTTGTTTACAGTGGCATATCTTGCAATTCATTAACAAAAGCTAATCAGGAAAATGCATCTGGGCTTAAAATAAGCTCTAGCTGATATCTGTCACAGGCTATTCTTTGGTCTGCTGTAAATAGTCATTGCATGTCATCTAACGTATGGTTCACAGTGCTATTCTGGGACATGCAGACACAAATGGGCTTTGCAATCTCCTGAGCTGAGGGTAGCTGCCGTATCGTGTTGCCGTCAACTCTGATATGAATCACACCGCAGTTCTCAGAAAATCCCAGCTCCATGCTCTATGTCCTATGAAAAGTTGCTCTGGGACCATTTTCCCCCGTGCAGTTATCTCAAGAATTTGCAGTGAAATAGATGTTGAAAAGAGAATTTTCCCTTTTCTAAGGATTTCCATAGTTTTCCTTCAAGCTTAACGGATAATTAGATTTCATGTGTTTATTAATTCAGCCATTGTGGGTATTGAAGTATCAGGGCTAGATAACTGCCCACCAAACCTCAAGCAATCAACTGAAATTGTCCCAAAGAAGCAAAACAGAAGCAAAGAGGAAAAAAGACAAAAAATGGACACAAATAATAATGGAAAGTGGCGGGCATTATAGCAACAAGCACCATGTAAGTCTGAAGAATACACAAGTCTTCCCTGAGGCAATTATTTGCTCCCAGTGTTGCCTGCTACGGAGATATCACAGCTGTATAATTAAGGCTAGGTCAGAGCTTTGCATATATTTCTTAATGCTAGAAATGAGTACATCAGGGCAGCCTGTATTGTGGTATTACAGATGGAGATTGACCTTATGCTGTAAAATGAACACAAGACGTGATGCTATCACTGCCCATCAGAGTACTGGAGATGGAAAATTACTAATTTAAAGAACAGCTGACAATAATTAATGGACAAACAGATCGCTAGCAAATTTAACTCAGAAATTATGGGGATCTCGGATTAACTGGAGCAATAGAGCTTTGGGAAGCCTTCTACAGAGAGGTGGGAGGAAGAAAACAGCTTTAGAGATGACACAGAAGTGTAGATAGGATCCTGTGCAATGGTTCCCCAATAACTGGAGCCTGCGGCACCCCGCAGCAGGGCACCTCCAGGAGCTTCTCAATCCCTGAGCATACAAAAAGCTGACAGTCTGCAGGTGGGCTCCGCCGTTCTGTCCTCCTCCACAGCTCCTGTGCTTGGGCTGCCCACAAAGCCAGAGCTTGGTCCCATGGGCTCCTCACTGACAGATGAAGGACAGTGGCTGGGCACAAGCTCAGGCCTTATTTCTCCATGAAGACCTTCAACAAGCTGAACTGAAAGTTCCCTAATTCATGTCTTGCCCGGGTACCAGCCCTTCCCTCCTTGCCATCCCAGCTCCCTCGCACACTACGACTTCCCAGGAAAGAAAAACATCTGAATTTGTTGCACATCAAACACATTCCAGTGATAGATTTAATGACGTAAGCTTCCACAAACTGCCCAGATTACGTCCCTGCTACGTCGACGTGCTTCACGCTCCATTGGGAGACATTTTGGGTCTGTTGACACACAAAGATACTTCATGTTCACTGAAATGTGAG